CCAGAATGTTAATGTGAAGGTAAGCAGACACATATTTTTTCGTCATCATTTTTTGCTTTTTATGACTGCGTGGTACTCTATTCATTCTGTTCTGCTCTGATACAGTATCAGCCTTTTTTTGACATTGTGGTTTATTCTTTCATTGACAGGTTATCATGGCCACCAACAGGGCTGACACACTGGACCCAGCCCTTTTACGCCCAGGCAGACTGGACCGTAAGATTGAGTTCCCTCTGCCTGACCGTCGACAGAAACGCCTGGTGTTCACCACTATTACCAGCAAGATGAACTTGTCCGAGGAGGTTGATCTGGAGGACTGTATCCTCTTGACCCTAAATTATGTGTTTCTCATTATGAAATCGTATTATGAAATCATAATCGTAGAAGAAAAAATGAGGGAAACTCAATACATGCTAGTAGAAGAAAATATTTCAGAAAATACACAAGTTTGGAGTCAGTAAAAAGAAATCTGTAAAATGTAAATTACATTTGAGGACTTTTTACAATTAAATGAAAAAAATAATAATAATTTTCTATTCATTAAAGTATCCTAAAAAAAAAGTTTTAAGTTTCCACAAAAACTTTAAGCAACACAATTTCTGAAGGATCACGTGACACTGAAGACTGGATTAATTATGCTTTGCATCACAAATACATTTTCTTTTAAGTTATTTGTTATAAAGAATGTACAACATTACTATTTTACTGTATTTTTTTGGTGAGCATAAGAGACTTCTTTTAAAAAATCTTACTGACCCCAAACTTTTGAATGGTATTACATCTTTTGAATTAGAAGACTGTTATATGTGACTGTTATATTATTTTAATATAAAAATGTATAAAATTTATACAAATTTGAATCACCGAGCCAGCATTGATTTCGCCTATAAGTGGAGATGAGTTATAGAAGTGGAGTGAATTGCACTTAACAGAAATGCAGATGTTGCAAGGCCTGACAAGATCTCTGGTGCAGATATCAACTCCATTTGCCAGGAGGTGAGTAAGAAGAGACAACACATTTTTAATGATTTATTTATTTATATTTTTAATTGTGGTTACATTGTTTTCTGTTTTGTTATCTTGTTTCTTGTGTCTACAGGCTGGTATGCTGGCTGTCCGTGAAAACCGGTATATTGTGCTGGCTAAAGACTTCGAGAAGGCCTACAAGACCGTTATCAAGAAAGACGAGCAGGAACACGAGTTCTACAAGTAGAATATATGGGCATTAGCTTTTACCTTGTTTGTTTCAGCCTTTTTTTGTACGTACAGTGTAACGTTGAGGACATAACACTTGAACCTTGATGGTTTACACTGCTTGTACTGGGACTTTGATTTCACAGGATTGTTTCAGATTTGCATTATATAAAATATGGATGGAAAAACAAACATGTACATCTTGTAAGCGTTCTGTTAAAGACCTGCTCAAAGAAAACCATAAAAATTGTTTCCATAATGACTCTAAATAAACATGTTTTTTGAAAACAACCCTGATGAATGCTGGCAGATAATAGTTTAGGTGATTTTTTTAGCACAGACATGAAAGGGAGTTTAGGAAGAACATTCATATAATGCTGACAACTACAAAGATTTCACCTTGCTGATACTAACACTTTTTTTCTAGAGGTAATTGTTGTTGGACATACAGTATTAATCAGCCTCAAGCTGTTGCAAACCTGAATGAGTTTCTTTCTGTTGCTGAACACAAAGGAAGATATTTTGAAGAACGATTGGAACCAAACAGTTGTGGGGCACCATTGATTTCCATAGTACAAAAAATAATAATAATAATACGGTGGAAGTCAATGGTTCGAATCGTTCTTCAAAATATCTTTCTTTGTGTTCAGTAATAGAAACAAACTCATTTAGGTTTGCAACAGTTTGAGGGTTGGGTTGCATTTTTGGGTAGAGTATCCCTTTAAAACTTTTAAGTTAATTACACTGCTTCTTGTGAGAAATGAATTGCAGTTTCACTCTTTCTCAGCATGTGATTGGCTGTTCGCTATGTCACACCTAAACTCAGGATCAAAGCCAGAGTTGACAGAAAGTTGATGATCAGCATATCATGGTACCAAACAAACCCTGGTTGGAATGATTTGGCTTTGTCAACTCGAAACTAATCCTGTAACCCTGAGTTTGTTAAACTACCATCATGGTATAGGCCCCTGGTCAGAGACCCTACTAAAGGGAAAATTTGCCTTGCATTAAATTCAAACAAACTGGAAGACATTTATCAACTACTCGTGAGATGTTTGAAGACATTAACTGAGTGGAATAACATTAACTATTTTTCCCGTAAAAAAGCTGTAAGTTTACCACCCACACAGCTTAAACATTAATAGAAAAGGGGAAGGCTATTCTGTGCTAAGTTACTTTATCTAAAGGATTTGTGCTTGCAAATTGTAGTCCATTACTGAATTCGAAATTCAAAACTGTACTTTGTAATTTAATCTATTAGACTATTTAGGAAATATAGACTACTGTTTGATTAAAAATAAGAATCAGAATGGATGAATTATTAATAATTTACCATTTTGTGAATATTAAGTAATCATGTTATCTAGAAATTAATCAGCGGAAATTTAAATTACAGCAAAAATCTGTAAAACAGCAGGTATTTCATTGTATAATAAATTTTACATTGTATAATGTAAAATTCTTCAAGTCTTCAAACCTCTTCCTTATTTTGAATTGCAAGGATTGCATTACTGTCTTTCACCACAAGATGGAGTTTGGTAATAAATAAAATGTGCACTAACCCTCTCAAAATTTTACATAGTATAATGTAAAATTACATTTGTTTTTGACAGTGTAATCAAGATTACATTATAATCAGTTCCTTCCAGCACTAAAAACCACTGTTATTTTGGTGTCATTCAGATGCTATTATAGTTTTTGTTAATATTTTGAATTAGTTTTTATTTTTATATTTTCCATTGTAATTTTAGTTTAAGTTTTAGTAAAAAAAAATAAATAAATAATTTTGTTTCAGTTTTAGATATTTTAGTTCATCAGGTTAAACTAAATAAAGTTGAAATAAATAGCCGAAAAAAATACGTTTAAGGTTTTATTTCAGCAACAATTTATTTATTTTATGGTTTTAGTTTTAGTTTGGGTTAACTGTAATAGCCCTTATATGAACGTATAACACCTGATGTTTCTAAGAAATAACCTTGTCCTGAGATTGCAAGTAAACCTCAATTTTAAACCAAATCTCTTCCTTATTTTGAATCGCAAGGATTGCATTACTGTCTTTCACCACAAGATGGAGTTTGGTAATAAATAAAATGTGCACTAACCCTCTCAATATTATGAAAAAAAAAAAAAGAAAAAAAAAAAAACTTTTTTGCTTTGCCATTCTCTTATCATTGTGTATAGCTACCACTAGACTAATCCAGTGTTTCCCAGCCCTGCTCCTGGATGTACACCAACAGTGCATATTTTGGATGTCTCTCTTATCTGACCCATTTATTTCTGACCTTAGAGTCTCTGCTAACAAGCTGATTCAGTTGTGATTGATTAGGAAGAGTTGGAAAATGTGTACTATTGGTGTCTCCAGGAACAGACTGGACTAATCAACAATGCACTGTTTTCAGGCACATAGCTATCAGGGGCCTGTACCATGATGGTAGTTTAACAAACTCAGGGTTGCAGGATTAGTTTCGATTTGATAAAACCAAACCAATACAACCAGGCTTTGTTGGTACCATAACGCCAACCAGTCCACATTTTTCCACAGTTTTTATCTTTATAAATTCGAACATATTTATCTCGAACTTACCTGGTAGCAAATGAAACCAGCTTTGTAAAACAGACGGCAGGTTCAACAGGCCTGAGCAATTTTGGAACAAAGATTCAAAAGGATATCTCTTGAGTCACCACCTATTAAGTCATCTAAAAAACATCTTAAATTGGTACTAAAATGTATTTCATTGAGCCTTATGGAATTTATTTGTAGTGACTAAGGCTCAGTGCTGTCGATAGTTCAGTGGTAGTTCATTTATAACTTTGTTTGCGACTGTTTTATCAGTTCATCAGCTGGCTAAAGAACTTTATTATATATAACTGATTGTAGACATATTGGATTATGTTCTTATCTGCACTTTATGTCCAACCAATATGTATGCGTTATGGCCTTTGACTGTAACCTGCACCTTAATTTTATGGAATGGAAATTTTAATTTTACAATAATTTTAAGGAATGATCAAATTACCCATGAATTATTACCTATAGACCATTTCACAAGATGTAAACAACACTGGTCCAGAAGCACTTCCTGTTTCAGTTTTTTAACACTACATAAAAGCTGGGATAAAATACAACCAACAGAACATTTAAAACTGAATCAAAAAGTTAAACAAACATCTTTAAGATGTTTTCTTTACATGTGAAATAAAGAAAACAGTTACAAACGGAAACAGGAAGTGTTTCTGGACCAGTGTTGTTTACATCTTGTGAAATGGTCTTACACCTTATGCAGTTGGTATTGATTGTATCTTGATAAATATCTTATCTCTCAATTGCATGAGTGGAAATAATGATGACAATTTAGTCATTGAACGGCGGGTGGATGGTGACACACATGTAACATAGGTTGAGTAACACCATCAGTTTAGCCGATTAGAAATGAGATACAGGAAAGAAATCACAAAGATCACCCATGACAGCAGAAGTTGGAGGATTATGTTAAAAAAGTTAGGATTTACAAGACAAAATCAATTAATAAAGTAGCCTAAAATCGACTGCCTGGCTTTTCTAGTTGTATACATGTTCAAAAATATTCACACACTTTTAAAATATCCATGTTCTTTATTAGTGCTGCGTGCAAACCACAGTAAAGTAGTGTGGTGCTATTTTACATTCATATGGATGAATAAATTGTAGCTATTTGAAGCATACTAATGTTTTATGAAGGTTAATGACAAACGATACCAAAACACAGAGGGTGCGGTCAAATGTGTGTTCATAAATTAAATGTGTTTCGGTTTTCACCCACACTACGCAACGCACATACACTACGGCACGCACATATGCTCGCCATAACAGCACAGCATAGCAGCGTGAGCGCGCATCACTTCCTGTGCAAGTGTGTGCATGCTGGGCGCTTTCAACTCTGACTGGACAACCGTCGGAGTCGACGAAGTCAGGCAAATAGACAAGAGTAACGGAATATCTGGGGGAATACTCCACCAAACTGTCCGTGTTTAACCAGGTAAGTTCTAAAGTCTCGTATCAAGGTCTTTTTTCCCTCGTTTGGGCTTTGTTGAAGTGTAATTTCCTCACCTTTTGGGAGGTTAGTGAGTATGTGAGAAGCCCCAGTTGTGCTAGCCTGCTGTAGCTAACCTCAGTGGCTCTGTTGCTCAGCATCGTTTCCTCTCAAGTTGAGGTCTAAAAAAAACCCCGTGTTTATGTCGAAACGACTTTTTTTTGCGTTTTACAGGCGCCCTGATAACTCATATAGCATCAGTCTCAGGGGCTATAGTGTGTCATTATATCCAGCTGTGACTGTTAACCACAATTATCACGACGCACCACTGTCACATAATCAATATTTATCTTGATAACGTTAGCTACATATTCATGTCTATTAGATATCGACAGCTACCTCTTATTAGACTACCGCTTAGATTTTTAAATAAGTTTCACTTTTATCAAAACTTGCATAACGATCAATAAACTATATAAATATTATGATAATTATCTTTTCTGTTGTTGTTGTTATTGATGCATATACTTTACAATAAGGTTCCTGATCTAACTAGAGCTAACAAAATGGTTGTATTTTAATTTTAATTTAACGTTAACAACAATTAATACTGTATTGATAGTATTGTTTACGCATTAGCCACTGTTAACTAATGGGAACTTATTCTAAATTGTTACCCAATACATTTTTTTGTAACTTTTGGTGTTTTTTTGTGTTGTTTTTTTAGAAACCCACCAAAGGGTGCAATTTATTGGTAGGCCTGATACAACAAAACCTAAAGAACAGCAGAAATAAAACATTTTTTTTTAAATGATCTAAAAAATTATATAGTCTATTCAAATTATGAGTACTATATAATATTGAATATTGTATTATTTGCCTGTGTTACTGTCTAATATCTGTGTCTTGTTGTTTCCCATTACTAAAAAAAATATGAAATAATACATGCTTACTTATTCACACACTTTTGTTTCTGTTAGTCTGTGGTTTTTTATTTTACTGTTGTCCATTTCAACAGAACAAGATAACAGTTTGTTGATCAAATGATTGTTGTTATAAGCATTTTTTTTTTAATTTTTAAATTTTGTTAAATAACTAGTTTTTATGTTTTTAGCAATATCTCAAATTTGTTTAGTACTAGTTAAATGGTTCGGTTCAGTTTCTTCTGATATTTGGTTTCTCATGACATGATTTCACAACATAGTATCACCCAACTTAAAGTAGATCAATCAGATAAACGTTAGTAACACTTTATATGAAGATGGTCATCTTTTTTTGTGTGTGTGTGTATTATTTGTTTAAAAAAAGAAAAACCTGTTCGGGACAGTTTATCCTGAAAGATCACCTTGTGTAATGCAAATTCATAGTGTTTTGCAATGTAGAAAAGGTTTGCCTAAATAACTTGTTGGAAGTTTGCCTTTGGCGAAACGGTTTAGGTAAATTTCACAGTTAGTGAGTAGATTAAATTAGTCTGTTTTAAATATTTCTTTGATGGCATGGCATCATGAGGAATGAATTGTGTTTAAGAGCTTTGAAACCTTTAAAGAGGTGATTTATAGTGTATAAGGATCTTAAGAATTCATGATATTTGTGCTTTTTTGTAGGTGATTCATGAACGGCTTAAAGACCAGACAGAATTGTTAGATGGAAAGCCCTGTGTGATTTGTTAATTTAGAAAATATCTATATATTCATCTTTTCACCAGGTAGGAATGTGTGATGGTTATGCTCTGGTGAAGGCTGTTGTCTAGTCTCGTTTTACTATTTCACACCGCAGCTTTAGAACTCGTTTTAAAACAAGAGGTGATCGTGCGTTTTGTGTGGTGGCTCCAAGGCTATGGAATTCTCTTCCATTAGTCTTGAGAGCTTTGGACACTGTAGAAAATTTTAGTAAACACCTTAAAACACATCTTTTTAGACAAGCTTTTAACTAGCTATATGGTGGTGTTGTAATGTGTGTTGTGGTTTTTATTTCTTTTATTTTTTTTTTTATTTTATTTTTTTTTTTTTTTGATGTAAAGCACTTTGTGACCCTTCATGTCTGTGAAAAGTGCTATATAAATAAAGTTTACTTACTTACTTACTTACTATTCCTGACAATACATTAATACTTTGTTTTCCTGTTTGAAACCATGACTTTTTTTTTTTTTAATGGGTTGCCGTTTTTAGTCCCGCTGGATCTTATCGCTTGGTTACAGATCCAAACAGCAGGTTGTTCTGCTTGCTCTCAAGGCTTTGCTCTCCCTGTAGCTTTGTAGCGTATAAGGCACAAAGCAGGAACGGCAAAATCCAAAATGGGTCAGTAAAATAAAATATGTCTAGCTTTGAATCGGCAGTCTCATTTCTAGCCATCATGGTGAAAGAAATTATATCTGTTGAGAGTTATAATTTCTGCTTTATACATTGACATTACAGAGGAGTCAGCTTGCTCTATTATATCATTCTAACTTTTGGAAATGGTGCAAGGTGTTTGGTTTTGAAAAGGTCTTGAAGATTATGTTCCTGAACTCTTGTCAGTCGCAGTTCTTTTGTAACATGAGATGAGAATTCATCAACCAGACGCCCAGAGCCCTACCGATAGGCCGATACCGATACAAATATTTGTTAACATCCGATATTCCGATATATATATATTTATATATATATAAATAAAATATATATTTTTTTCATAAACGTGCAACAAAACATTAACATTTCCCTAGCATTAGTTATTTGTAGTTATTTTAAAATAATATGATTATAATAATAATATGAGTTTTAACTAAAATAATATGATAATGCATAACATGCACTGTAACAACGTAACGTAATTATTACTAGCTAATTCCGCTTCACTTTCGGCTTATTTAACTGCAGCAAAACTGGACATGATAGTCACAAATTCTGTCATGCTTATTTGAGTTAAGAGAACTGATGGAGATGTTCTTTTAATTGTTATTCAAGCAATGTATGTCTCGTGACCAACTCAACGAGTGTTGCGGTGTAGAGTGCCCTCTGATGGACAAACTATACATGGGCGTGTTTGTTCCATTTTTAAATTTTTTTTATTTTATTTTTTAAATATTCATTTATCGGCCACTATAACTGCCGATACCGATAGTTTGGAAAATGCCTAATATCGGCCGATATATCGGTCTGGATCTAATTTTAAGACCAGCAGAGCTTGGTTTTGTGTACTTGTCACCATGTGGAAGCTGTGCTGTGATTTATTTTCATTTATGAAGCTTGCGTATTCAATCATTGGATCATCAGATCCAGGTTTACAAGGCTTTTCAATGTAGACAGTATCACAGTATGGAGATTAGGAAGACATCAAGCCACGTCAACATTCAATGTTTGCGTAACATCCTGCTTATAAAGATGAAGCCCTTTTAGAGAAAAAAAAGCAACTGGTGATCATAGTAGTTACTAGTTTGTGTTAAATGGACCTCTTCTTTTCACTTTCATGCATTGATGGATTCCATTGTTTCAACGTGAGATATTAAAAGCAGCTTTAGTAAGCCGAGTAGCTGAGGGAAAATATTTCCTGGTACTCTTGCTGCGGGCAACAAACTAAATCCTCTAGCACCTCAAATGATTGTCTGCGTCACCATTGACTATTATTCCCCGTGCCCCTCGGATCAGGAAATTGATATTTTTTTTCCTTGATGCGTTTGAACACATAGCTTGCGCAAACAACTCTGATATTGTATGTGTATTAAGGAACATCCTTTTTCCCGTTGGTTCAAGTCTGTCTGTGTCTGGATTTGGCATGCTTGGCTTTTAATTTCCCTTCAGGTTGTGTGCAGAGATTGTTATATAAATGCTTCGGATTTGACCGAGTTAAAGTTGTGACAGCCAAATGCCATAGTCCTTAAAGAGTGACCTTTTCCCCTTTAGTTGTTCTGATGTACTTTGAGCTCAGGCCTGTTTTTACACATTAAATTATGAAACCATTTGTGCCCAGCTGATATTTTATATTTTTTTCTTTTTAAATCTTGCTTTTGGATATTGGATCTATTTGATCAGGAAGTGCCACTGATATGTTCAGAGATTTCCATGTGTTTTTTATGCAAATATTTCGGGATATTGCATTTAAATTTCTGTATGGAAGCACCAAGATGCAAATTTCCACAATGTGCAGAACACTTTACCCCCAAACCCTAAGGCAACATTATTACCAGAAAGGTAAAAGAAAGCCAGGTATGATCATATAACAGAAAGGTATGATCATATAACATGAAAACACTGCATGAGTCTTCCTACAGTTTACATGGGAATGGCTTCAGGGCAGTAGAGGATGAAATACCTGAATATTTTCAAATTATTAATTTAATTTAATAAATTAGACATAAAAAATATATATATATATATATATATATATATATATATATATATATATATATATATATATATATATATATAAATTAAACAGACTTTTACATTAGATGACAACTTCTTGATCAAATTACATATATATATATATATATTTTTTTACAAATAAAAAAAGGAAGTAAACAACACTGTAATCAAGAGGGCACCCCGTCTCAGTAATCTGGTAAGTTTGTGCACTGAACCATATTTAAAATAAAATATAAACATTAGGTAACACTAATTTTACTTATAGCACACAGTAAAAATGCCATGAATATGTCATAGTGGGCAACTGGATATAGCCCAGAATAGTTTGAAATCAAGGGTTTAAAAATCATACGTCTCCAGTGAAGCTGTACTCTTCTGTCCACACGGACTGACCACCACGCACAGAGAAATACGCGTTCATGCAGGCTACAAATTTGATACATCTGTGGGGTTTGTAAATTCGAAATGTTTATTAAATTTGTTTAAATTACATGAATTAGTTTTTGCTGAACGCTGATGGTATATGAGAAGGTATAATAGTGTTAGCCTTTCTGTTACTAATAATATATAAGCACTTGATCGTATAGTTTACTTTCTTTAACAGTTCTGTCAAACCGAGAATGAAGACATAGATCAAAAGCATTCTGGCGCTGCTGTTCTCACTGT